ATGCCCCCTCCCACATCCGCAGGAAAATCATGTCCTCGCCCCTGTCCAAGGAGCTGCGGCAGAAGTACAACGTGCGCTCCATGCCCATCCGCAAGGACGACGAGGTCCAGGTACGGCCCTGCCATAACTCAGCTTTGTCGGGGGGGTTTCAGAGCTGGGAAGGGGCTGGAGAATTCCTGAGGGAGCTGGGAAGCAGCTCAGCCTGGAGAAAAGGAGGCTCAGGGGGGCCCTTCTGATTCTGCACAGCTCCTGACAGGAGGGGACAGCCAGAGGGGCATCCAGGATGAGAGGGAACGGCCTCAGGCTGGGCCATGGTGTTTCCCAGGACAAGGGAAGAGATGAGAATCTTGACTCCACGTTTCAGAAGGTTCATTTGTTATTTTATATTAAAAGAAAATTATATATTAAATCTACACTGAAGAATAGAAGAAAGGATTTCATCAGAGGGCTAGCAAGGAAAGGAATGGAATGATAATAAAATATTGTGACTGGCCAGAGAGTCCGAGACAGCTGGACTGTGATTGGCCATTAATTAGAAACAACCACATGCGACCAATCCCAGATCCACCTGTTGCATTCTACAGCCGCAGATAATCATTGTTTACGTTTTGCTTCTGTTAGCTTCTCAGGAGAAAAGATCCTAGCAAAAGGATTTTTCATAAAATATATCTGTGACAACAGAGCTCTCCCATTGGGGTTTGCTGCAAAGAAAATGGGGGAGAAGCACAATCCTGACCCATTAAATGTTCTGTGTTAGTCATGCTGAAATTCTCAGGTCACTCATGTGTCTGTGGCTTGGTTCCTGTGCAGCTCAGCTGCTTTGTGGGACGGGCTGGCTGTCCGGGGCTGCTCCTGGAGCTGTGTGTGTGCTGTGTGCAGGTGGTGAGGGGACACTACAAGGGCCAGCAGATCGGGAAGGTGGTGCAGGTGTACAGGAAGAAATACGTGATCTACATCGAGCGCGTGCAGCGCGAGAAGGCCAACGGCACCACCGTGCACGTGGGCATCCACCCCAGCAAGGTAAGGGGCACCGGGGCTGCTCTGGGGGGGCTGGCACCTGGTACCAAGGAGGGGGATGCACCTGGAGGCTGCTCCATCTGTGCATCCCCAGCCTGTGGGGAATCCAGCCTGTGGAAGCTGAATCGTTGTTTAGTTTTGATTTTGTTTTTTGGCTTTGCTTTCACTCCACTCTGATTCAGGGTAAAGCTACAGCTAAAAAAAAATTAAATGTTAGTTTTACTGCTAATTCTCATGTGCAAACAACTCTCCTTGCTCTGCAGTGTGATTTTATTAAGGTTTATACCGCGAGTATTTTAAATTTAACCATTTTAAAAAATTAACTCTGTTAATATAGTTCTAATAAATTTAACATGCTGCACATCCCACTCTTAGCACTAAAATAAGAATAAAATCTCAGTCTTTGTTCCAGAACATACAGAAATGTTTTCTAGTAGGAATATATTAATGTGGGCATAGTTGTTACAAAATCTGTGGATGCAGAATGTTTGTTAGTATAAAAATAATCA